CAATTTCATCATGGTGAAAAAGTTGGGAAAGGTTGGGAAAAAATAAGAAATTTTCATAACTTAGAAAATTTCTAAGTTATGAAAAATTTCCATTTTAAACCCTAATTTTCAAAATTAGGTTTCTTGGTGAACAAGTTTCATGTTTTGACACATCTTGATGAAAAATGACCCTTGGCACTTGATTTTGACCAAAAAGTCGAAGTTTGACTTTTTAGTGTACAATTGATTTTTGATCAGTTGACTGGAAAATTCATCTGTCAATCTAATGCAATTGAGATCTTTTGAACCTTGTAATTAGGTCAAGATGATGCCATTGAGTCCTTGAATCCATGCTTGAACCCAATTTTCCATTGGCCAAGTGAAAAATCAGAAATTGCCCTTCTGCAGTCAAAACCCTAAAAATGACCATTTTGCCCTTTTGATGATCTGATCAAATTCCTTGAGGAGTTGTGGTCCAAACTCGATCAAATGGTTCATATGAGTTTATAATGTTTATGTGGATAAAAAATTATGAGGTTTGACTGTAAATTAGCCACAGTTGACTTTTTCCCTAATACAGTTGATTTTTAGGTCAACTGTCCAATTGACTGGGCAAAAATTTGATTCAAACTTGAAAATTGGTATGGGAAATCTTATAAGTCCAACATGAAGTATGAAAGTCACATTGAGCATTGGAAGTCCAAAAATCCTTGTGCAAACTCAAACCCTAATTTCAGGTCAACAGTGCAAGGAGATGTCTTGAGCTGAGCAAACCCTAATCTGTTTTTGAATCCAAAGAGTCTTGTGAGGGGAAATCTTGATAAAATGAGAGGGAAAATTTTGAGGTACAACAATCATCATCCTTTCCTATGAGAATAACAGGTCCAACTTCCCTGCTTTCTTAGGGAAGTTGACCAGGGAGGAGGCCACGTGCTAGACTCCATACACCCGTAAATCCTGACAGTCTTTGTTATTAGGCCTCAACGTGACCCATTACTAAAGACCTTGGCCCAGTGCTTAGGGCTATAAATACCCTCCCACTTGAGAGGGTTAAGTATTCATTCATTCACCCGGACTCTAACACTTTACTTACACTTACTCTGAACCTTACTTTGGTATCAGAGTGTCTTGCAGGTACCCCCCACTTCACATTCAACCACAGTTCGACATAAAGCTCGTGGACCTTGACAATTCCTTCTGATCAAGTACGATCAGATAACATACTTATTTAATTTAAAATTATTAAAAATAAAAATATAAATAATATGTGAGTAATAGTGGAGAGTTATAGGTAGTTGAGTTTATTTTCATGGGAATGTTGGATTTCCACCCCTTAAGCACGAGAATAAGTATGAGAAGAATTAAGTGTAAATAACATTCCTGGGATTAAAAAATATTGGGGAACAATTTTTAAAAACTTAAAACAAATATGAGAATAATGCATTTCTAATGTCACATTTCCATAAATGTAATTTTAATCCTTGAAACAAATACGCCCTTAGTAATAAAATTCGGGAATAGTATTTCCCAAATTACAATTTTAATCTTGGAAACAAACACCCCCTCTAGGTTGTAAATTACTAGAGTTTGAAAATAATATAACATATAAATTGATGACATAATACTCAATATTTTTTAATTTATTTTTTTAATTTATATTAACCATAAATTTTATAAAATATGCATAATTATCCCATGCATCGCAAGGGTAGATGACTAGTTTATTTTATTTATTTTTATTACTAGAGAGTTAACTCAATATGAAAATGAGGTTCATAACATTATTAGATTATTATCATTTTTATAATCTAACGATGGTATTGTGTACTCACAAGAATACAATACATGTAATGTAAAACTTTAAGTGATATTTATTTTAGGAGAATATTTAGATACAATTTCATAGGTGTGGTTCATATTTTTCTCTAATAAAAGTATGACAAATATATCAAAATATCTTTTATGGAGTAAAAATATGAAGAAATTGCATATGTGCATGAGAAAATTATACACTTGTCATATTTTCATTGGAAAAAATATAAACCACACCTAAGAAAATGCACTTAATTTGTTTCCTTTATTTTATAGTTTAAAATATGATAATGATTAAATTAATGTCAAATAATATGGAAATACTATCACGTAATAATAATTTTTTTCAATAGTAAAATAATTCTTCTTTAAACTATTTGATAGTTTATTTAAATTTAAAAATGAATGTTTCTAAATTTTATAAAAAATGAGCTATTTTTATGGGTTTACCGCAATAAATATTAAATCGATCAAATTCATTTGATTTAACCATCAAATTAATTTAATTGAATCTGTTGAAAACTTAAATTTTTTCGGTTGCAATCGAGTCTTTAAAATGAAATTGCAGTTTATGTCAGATTTAAGTTTTGGACCCAATATCGACCCAAATCGACCGATTGTCCAATCCTATCGTGAGCTGAATGGAGAAAATATATTTATTGAATATGGTGGATATCCATCTTATTTGTGCCTGATGTTGGACTTTGTGCTCTTTAGTACTCATGACTAGGCGAATTGGTTTTTCGATGAGTTGAAGACTGATTTTAATAGCGCGAGGGAGACGTTGGCTTAGGAGCAGGAATGTCTGAAGACTAACACTAAAGAGTGTGATGAGTCACAACGTTTCAAGGTAAAGCTAGAGAAGGCGGTGGACAAGGCAAAGAAATGCGTCAAGAAAGTCGATGAGAACTTTTCCTATGTAGAGAATGGGCCAAAGGCTACCATTCACACCCAAAAATAGCTGGAAGGAGAATTGTCAAAGTGTGAAGACGAATTGTTTGATACCTCTGACAAATATTTTGAATGTGCTAAAGAAAAGGTGGCCCTTTTGCATCATGGCTTGGACCTGAGTCAAATTGATTTGTTCAAAGTAATTAAGAATGGCTAGCTGGCATATGAGGAAGGTGAATCATGCCTCCACAAAGATTTCTATGTATGAAGTGTGGACTTCTCCCAAGAAGAATGGGGAGTCTCTTACTCTTGACGAGGGGCGATTAATGAGAAAGAGGATCATTAGGCTCCTTATATTGTTTTATTCTTATTTTGTAATGCTTCCCTTCGTGGACTTTCTGTAATTAAACCCTTCAGAGTTTTTTGTAAACACGCACTTAATATCACCAATGTAATTCTCTTTAATTTCTTTATAAAATTCCATCATTTTTGTTGTTGTCCGTATGGCGTACACTTTGAGAAACCTATTTGATGAGTGCATCCTTTAATGAAGGTGCAGTTTATTAAACATTATTATTAAAATTAATATTTAATAAAATATTTTATTAAATATTATTATTAAATATGTTAATAAATTGAATAATTTATTAAATATTTTAATTATTAATTAATTTTTTTTTATTTAGCTAATCTGATCCATATAATTTGTCCTTAGTAGAATCTCATTTCTCAATAGAGCTCAAATACTTAATTTTAATTAATAAATAGTTTATTAAACATTATTATTACAATAAAACTAAATAATTAATAGTTATTTATCAAATATTAAATAAGCTATGAAATAGGATTAAATAATATGAAATAATTATAATAGTTGATTAAATAGTTTATTAAACATTTCAATTATTAATAGTAGTATTTCAACTATTTAAATAATTGTCAAAAGAACTATTTAAATAGTTCATTAAATATTAAATAATCCATTCATTTAATAATTATTTAATATCTAAAAACTAATTGAAATTTTTGTTCACAAGAAGTGTTGGACCTATGACCTTGACATAATCAAAACAATGCTTGTCCACTATACAAGCTCAGTAATTTTGTATTTAACATTGCAGCAAATACAAAGGTTCAGTTAGATAAAATTAACTGGTAGTTGGTAGTTTATAGTTAGTAGTTAATAGTCAATGGTTGATAGTTTATAGTTAGTGACTAATAACTGATAAATTAATATGAATGTTTGCTAAATTATTTATTTCATTAATTGATAGATATAAAATACCATAAAAATCATTTTAATTAATAAAATAATAATATATTTTTGTTAAAATATTAGAAGTATAAATGAAAGAAAAAATCACAACTTAAAAGCTACCGACTCAAAAGTTATTTCAAAGACCTTTTAAAAAGGTTAATAAAAAATTACAAGTTAAAAACTAAAATCGAGTTAGTAAACAATCTTTTTTTAAAAATGTAACTCACAAAGTAAAAAACTATTTTTTGAGTCATCAAAGAGACTCTATATATGGAGTAGTATGTAATATTACTAGACGAGCTAACTATTTTGCAGTCAATATTTACTAATTATTTCACACTATTATTTATTATTTACTAATTATTTAACACCATTCTTAATAAATTGATTTTCAGCATTAAATAGTTCAAATAAATGAATGATTTAATAAAATAACTATTTCAAACTATTTTTAATTAATTATTTCATATTTATCTTAAAATATTTCAACTATTAATAATTTAATAAACTAAATATTTGAAATAAATTAAACTTTTTAATTTATTAAATGTTTTAACTATTTAATATTTCAACCATAACTAAAATAATACATGAAAATATTTCAATTAAACATTAATTAAATTATTAATATGAAAAAATTTAACTATTTAATAATAAAAAAATTAACAAAACAAAATAGCTATATTAAAAAAAAAAAGATGAATACAAGGCGATCACAATCGATCCAGCCCACAAAGAATCAAAGAAACCTCAATTACATCATGAGGGTGATAATATGTTTCCTAAGTTTAGTGTTGAACCAACCCCTAAACGGAATGGTGTCAATAATATGCTGGATAAGGATTTTCTTATCAGCATTTTTACCAAAACAATGGTCATTACGATATCTCCAGGCACCATAAATAGCTTTTGTCGCAGCCAGCTTCAATACGAAGCTCTTCAACCCTTGCCCTTACCGTGCAACAAAATCCACTGTAACTCATCTCTCAAACACTTCGGACTGTGGATAATTTGTATCCAATTAAGAACAACAACTTAAATATCCTTAATTTCTGCACACTCATAAAAAAAGGTGATCAGTCAATTCATCCTTAGAGCGAAAACTGCAACAAGTATTGTTCAACTTCCCAAACCTATGCAATCTATCTTTGGTGGCTAACTTCCTATGACACGCCAACCATAAAATCATAGTAGTACGCAGATGAGCAGGATTATTAAACATAAGATTATGCCAGTCAATAGCAGGAGCTTTAACCAAGATATTATAGACTTTCTTCATCCTGAATTTACCTTGAAAACACATATTATCCCATGTCTGCTGAATTTTACCAATAAGATCTCTTTGAAGGAGAATATGATTCATGATCTAAGTCCCATCATGCTTCACTTTAGCATCCAAGATGTTCTGTTTTTTTAAAAAGTAAATGTGAATCCAATGAACTCACAAACTATCCTTCTTACTACACAAATTCCAAAGCAATTTCAACAACGAGATATTGTTCCAAATAGACAAATTAATAACATACAGGCCCCCTGCTTACGAGGTCTACAAACACACTACCACACAACAGGACTCTTCCTGCTCACAGTCTCTTTACCAGTCCAGAGGAACGAATGAAAAATGGCCTCAATTTTCTTGATAACAATTTTCGGCAACGGGAAACAAGACATCCTGATCCAGTAGTTAGCAATAGCGAAGGAGATAATTTTAATCAGTTAGAGTCTGCTACCAAAACTAAGCAAATGAGTAGACCAATGCTTGGTTCTGGACACAATTTTGTCAATAAGCTTCATATAATGATTAACGGACAACTTTTTACACGTAAGGGGAACCCCAAGATAACGAAAGGGAAGACTGCCTTCAACAAAAGAAGTCAGCTTTAAAATACTCTCCTTAACATCTTTGTCTATAGCACTAAAGGAAATCTTACTTTTGTTAGAATTAACACACACCCCAGTTGAGTTAAAAAACCTGTAAAAGGTTTGGATCAAAAGGTCAATAGAGCCCGCATCTCCCCTTGAGAAGAGGAGAATATCATCAGCAAAAACCAGATTAGTGAGAGACATCTTCTCACACTTGGCATGGTGATTGAAGTTTGGATATAATTGCATCTTATGTAAACATCTACCCAGATACTCCATGAAAATGGTGAAGAGGTAAGGGGAGATGGGGTCCCCTTTCCTAATTCCCCTCTTATCATTAACACTCTTTGATAGGGAACCATTAATATTAAACATGTACGTTACAGTAGTCACAGAAACCATGATCCAGTCAATGAACTTCCTAGGAAATCCCATCTCTTGCAAATATTATCCAAAGCTGACCAATCTACCATATCATATGCTTTCTTCATATCAAGTTGGATCATGCATCTAGGAGTGCCATTGTGCCTAGAATACCCCTTGATTAACTCATAAGCAAGTAAGACATGAGTGTGGATTGTTTGGCCAAGAATGAACACTACTTGATTAGGACTGACTACACTCCCAATTACCTTGCCCAACCTCTTAGTCATAATATTAGAGATTATTTTATAAACAGTGGAACAAACAACAATAGGCCTAAAATCTTTAATGTTCTTGGCAGTTGCACTTTTAGGGATAAGCGAAACAACAGTACAATTAAAGCATCTCAGCAGACAGGAACAATTAAAGAATTCGAGAATAGCAACATACAAGTCATCTCTAATAATATCCCAGGTACATTTGAAGAAGCAGGAATTGTACCCATCATATCCAGGGGCAGACAAATCATTAATGTGCTTTAAGGCTTCAAAAACCTCATTAACACTGACAGGACTAATCAGACTATTCCTTTGGTCATTACTTAACTGATTCCCTCTTCTCAAGGCAGGCACACATATACCAATGGTATTAGATGCCTTACTTCCCATAAGACTATTATAGAACCTCAAATTTTCCTCTTCAATCTCAGTAGGGGAATTAAGACAAGATCCATCATCTTTAAACATAACCTTTATACTATTATAATTGTATTTGGCTTTAACAGACGCATGAAAAAGGCATTGTTATCATCGCCTAGCTTAAGCCAATCTATTTTCGATCTCTGCTTCAACATATATGCTTGTAAATCTTGTTGAGCCTGGTCTAGCTTGGCTCTGGCATGGATGATGTGAATTTTAGACTATAAAAGAGGAGAATGCAACTTGTGGATAATAGGTTGCAGTCTTCTTAACTTCTTCCAGGGGACCAACATTGGTCTCCCCTCAGTATGCAAATCCCAAATCTTCTTAACTGCTTCTAAGAAACCTGGCATTTTAGAGACACAATTTATAAATTTGAATCTACTAACTCTTTTGGGGAAGGTATTATGATAAGACAACAGAAGTAAGGCATGATCGTATACATGATGGGGGAAGGATATTAAGAGTGTAATTCAAATGGTGTTGGAAACAATCAACATTCCTAAGTAATCTGTCTATTCTAGAATAAATGGTGCCAACTTGTTGTTTATTTGACCAAGTGTAGTAATCCTCTATAGAGTCCATCTCAAACAGATTCTTATTGTCCATCATCTCTTGTAAATCAAAATACTCATGTTCAACAACCAAGTTACCACCAATCCTGTCATTAGATTTGAGCACATTATTGAAATCTCCAATAATGCACCAAGGGCCTTGAATTTGCAAATTAGAGAGATCTTTCCAGAGAACTTTTCTTTGCTCTAGCTTGTTCAAAGCATAAACCGCAGTCAACCAATACTTGAAGTTACACCATTGATATCAAAAATAGAACAATGAACCACCTGACTCGTGTGACTAATAATCCTGACATCAATACTGTTGTTATTCCAATGGAGCCAAATTCTACCATTATCATGGGAATGATAGTTATCGACATAACTACCACCCAAACTCAATTTATTTCTAACACTTGTAGCTTTACTAGCTTTGACTCTAGTCTCTATCAGAATGATGATATCAACTCTAAGAGAGAGGAGACAGAAGCTAATCTCCTTTATCTTAGAGGTTTTATTTAGCCCCTGATATTCCAAACTACAATCATTGGCCAGTGTTTTGAAGCTCTAGGAGATCATTCAAAATCCCTAGAGCATCAAATCCATTTCCACAAACCAACTTACCAGGGTTGCAGTCTTTAACCCCTTCTTGAACTTGTTTCTTGCCTCTATCCTTGCCACTTTTGATTACTTTTGTCCACTTTTCAACTACTTCAGGAATTTTATCAGTTGGCGCATTTTTCTCAGTGCCCTTAGCAGTGACTGGAACCACATATGGGGCATGTTTTTCCTCAGAAATTTTAGGTTTAGGCTTCATTGCATCCCTTTAGGTTTAGGTTTGTCACAATTTGACCCACCTTTTGGCATTTACCACACAAAAGATGCCTCCACTCATATTCTACAGGTTGAAGAAGCTTTTCTCCATACTTATCTCTGATTGTAATACTTTTTAGGAGCTCTTTTGTAATATCCATTTCCACTAAAATCCTAGCATAAGACACCCGAAGTCTATTGGTTGTGCATTCATCGGTGACAATTGGATTACCTAGAGCGCTCCCAATCTTGTTAAGACTTATATCACCCCATAGGTACAAAGGTAGTTGAGGAAGTTTCATCAGTGACAATTGGATTACCTGGACGTCATTCACGAATTAACAATGGCATACTTGGAATCATATATGGACCCCTCATTAACACTCATCCCGTTCTCGGAATGTCTTGAATTGAAGGATAAAGTAACCTTCTTCATGGTAATACATGTCAGGAAGTTGAAGAAAGTTCCAACTCTTAACCATGAAGTTCTTGACAACATTCATGTTAAGTTCTCCACCCAAAGCATATAAGACAAGAGAAGATTGCCAAAAATTGAGTTCAGAGATTACATCTTCATCGTCGATTTCCATCTCAATCTCACCATTAACGATCTTTGGAGCTGTGAAAGTCATACTTCTACCCTTCGCTGGGTTCCTGTTATCGTTCAGAACATCCACCCATAATTTCCTCACAAGTTTGGGACTTAGGGTTTCAGCAGATTTGGGTATTTCATCAACTAACTCCTCTTCAATACTCTCCTCTTCCACCTTACTTGTGCTTGCATGGTGACTTGGGGAACCCTGTTGCACCGATTTGTTCTCCAAAATCGATGAAACAGTGTTCGGAGATGTAGGTTTCGACGGCGGAGGTACCTTTATGATATTGTTGATATTATTTACATGACCAAAAAAATTATTTAAATCTAAATATTTTTTTAAAGATTCTTTATCTCAATCAACCTAGTTGGTTAGGTGTATACCTTTTCTCCTGAGAGCCTCTCTTCGAATCCTCTTGAAGGAAGTGTTTAGGATTTTTCATCTTTTAATATCTAAAGTCAATGTTTTTTTTCTTCATTTTTTAATATTTAAAGCCAAAAAAATAATAATTAAAAAGCCAACATAAAAAAAATGATAAATGAAAATAAAAAACTATGACGTCATTAAAAATTTTAAATAATTTAAAAAAACTGTCATGTCAAAAATTCTCGTGACCGAAATTCAAGAAGAATCAAAATATTTTTTTTTTTGAAATATTAAAGATGAATTTAAATTTTTTAATGGAAATTTTTCTAAATTTGTCCATATGACAGATTGGACCGGTCCAATTAATATAAACTCCGTAAGCAAATTTTAAAATAAGTTTTTATTTATTTATTTATTTTATAATATAAACTTTTATTACAATTTAATTACTTAAAAAAATAGAATTAAATATATTTTTCGTTTCTATAAATAATTTAAATTTGAATTTAATTCTTAAAATAATTTTCTTCAAATAACAGTCTTTTTAAAAAATTTCATGTATTCTTTTTACCTCTCTTACTAATTAAGTTATTAAATTAAAATAGTCATTAATTTTATTATTAAATTATAAAAAGTGTCACTAAGTTGCAAGAAGGATAAGAAATATGGATAAAACATTTTAAAATGACCATTTTTTAAGAGATTAAAATTGAAATATAAGATATTTACGTAGACTAAAACATATTTAATTTTAAAAAATATAATTTATAAAATATAAAATATAAGAATTGTAGAATATAAAACATAAGAAAATAGAATATAAAATTATAATTATATAAAATATTTTTTTTAAATGTGATTTCTTAAAATTTTCAAATATAAATTATTTATTTTAGGATATTTTAATCAAATTGAATGAATTATAATAATACGAGAATAATTGTTAGGAGTGTGGGATAAAAGTTTCTATTTTAATATAAAAATATGAGGCCCAAGGCCTATTCTTTGGGCCGAGCCTGAATTTGTCACACTCGTGTTCGTGTATGTCCATTTGTAATAGAAGAGAAACTAAAATTGCCTATTACTAGCATCACCAAACTGAACATAATAACAAAACAAATGCATTTCTGATATAAAACTGCTATATGATCTTGCATAATTTATGACAAAATCCAGCATTTTTATGTTTTCATTTAAAGTATAGCAAACTTTGTGAATTAATGTGGTTGCCAATCTATGAAAATGAAATAAAAAACAAACATGATAGGTAGCGAGTGACACTGACAGTGAGTAATTGACTTTGTTTTTTGGATATCTTTAAACAAATTAAAGGAAAGAGTCACAAATATAAAAAAAAAAATTAGTTATCAAATTAAAAATGATGCATGTATAATAAGATTAGCTCAATTGAAATTAGCTATTGGACTAGATAGAGAAAATGTGGTGAAACTCTGTTTCTTCCATTTATTTTTATTAAGTAAAGATTACTTTAATAAAAATAAAATTGTTTTCAAGATCACTTTTTAACATAAATTATTCTTCTCCAATTAGACCACTATCTATTGATATAACAACCTATGCCTTATCTTAAATGGAGTGTATCTTGACTCCTATAGAGTTCAGGTAGACTACATTTATCATAAATTTCATTTAGGTTATATAGTTATGTGGTACAAATTTTTTTTAATATAGTGTTTGATTAAGTTTATAATTTTCATTATTTTGTTTTACTTTGATCTCTAAAATTATATTAAATAGTTTAAAAATCTTTTATCTTGAATGTGAAAGTTAAAAATCTCTTTATTTCTAAGATTTCATTTATCTTGTTGCTAATGATTAACATGTCATTAACATATAGACAAAGAAATATTCAAGTGTTTTCATGCATCTTTGTGTATAGACACTTGTCGCAAGAATTTGAAGAAAATCTATTTGAAAGTATGAATGAGTCAAATTTTTGATGTCATTGTTTTGGTGCATGTTTTAAACTATATAAGGATTTGAAAAGTGTGCATACCTTTTGTTAATTTTTAGGAAGATACCTTCTGGTTGTTCCATGCAGATTTTCTCATCGAGATCTCCATTTAAGAATGTTGTTTTAACATACATTTGATGAGCTATAAGGTCATTTAGATAAGCTAATGTAAACAATACTCTAATTGTGGTTGTCTTTGCTACTCGTGCATTTGTGTCAAAATAATCAACACATTCCTTTTGGCTAAACTCTTTTGCTACTAATCTAGCCTTGTTGGTGTTTAATGTACCACCACAATGATACTTCTTTCTAAACACCCATTTACATCTAATGCGCCTTGAACCCTTTGGAAGGTCGACAAGTTCCCAAGTGTGGTTTGATATAATAGAATCCATTTCGTCTTGGATAACATCTTTTCAAAAGGAAGAGTTCCTTGAAGCCACTGCTTCTTTATAGGTTTTAAGATCATCCTCTACTTGAAGAATAATAGGACTTTCATGAACACCATTCTCGCAATTTCCTTCAACTAGATAAAAGGCAATAAGTTGAGAATCGATTTCATTTGGTCATAGATTCTTAATTTTGCAGACTCTTTTTCCTATCATAGGCTCGGGTTGTGTTACAATGATCGAAAGACTTTTGGGTTGTATTTCAATAATCTATGGAGAATCTTCATCATAAGATTCTTCATTCGTGGGAATCTCAGATTCCTTATCCTTTGTGATTAGGTTTTCAAAGAGTTCGACATCTCTAGATTCAACAATTAAATTAGACTCCATATTTAAAAGTCTATATGCTTTATTGTTAGGTGCATATCCTATAAAGTCACATCTGATCCCTCGAGGATCCAATTTAGTTCTTTCAGGATACATGTTCTTATAATATGCTACATAGTTCCACACTCCAAAATAACTTCTATTTTGTGGTCTATCTTTCCATATCTCATATGGATAAATACTAGTTATCTTCAAAGGATTCATATTCATTATATGGCATGGAGATAGTAATGCCCCCCCCCCCCCCTCCCCCACAAATTAAATGGAAATTCATAATGCATTAATATAAAATTTAGCATTTCTTGATATGTTCAGTTCTTTGTCTTGGCTAGACCATTTTGTTGGGGTGTACGAAGTGCGGTATTCATGTATAATGCCATATTCTTCACAATATGCATCTAATTTTGTAGAAAAGTATTAATCACCCCTATCACTCCTAAGAACTTTGATACTTCCACTTAATTGATTTTCTAATTTCACTTTATAAATTTTAAAGGCATTAAAGGAATCATATTTATGCTTTAAAAGGTATACATGTGTGAACCGAGAGCAATCATCAATAAAGGTTATGAAATACTGCTTTCCCCCATAGGTTAGAATGTCATTAAATTCACACCAATCAGGATGCACGAGATCAAGCAAATTTGATTTTCTTTCAACACTTTTAAAAGGTTTCTTAATTGTTTTTTATTTAACACATTTTCCACATTTTTCAAACTCATGAATATTACATGAGATCAATCCAAATTTAATTAGTCTATTCATAGTAGTAATACCAACATATGCTAATCTATAATGCCATAAATAAATATATTCAAGTATATAAGCAGAATTATAAATTTCATTAGTAGTACAAAGTTTTATCATTCCCTCAACGGAATATCCTTTTCCTACAAATATATTGTTACATGTCAATATTAGTTTCCCCGATTCATATACAGAATTAATTCCTGATTTTACCAACAAGTCTCACTAACAAGGTTCCTATTCATTTCGGGGACATGAAGTACATTGACAAGAGTGGCTTTCTTTGTGAAAGTTAAATTGAGTTTGACGAATCTCATTCCAACGACTCTATATCGTACTTCATTTCCCATCTTCACATCTTGTACATCATTTACTTCATAATAGGTTTTTAATAATGCTTTGTCATAAGAGACATACATTGTAGCACACATATCATACCACCATCCTTGCATTTTGCCTTTAATTGCCATAATCTCGCTCATCATAGCATTTATGTCGTCATCAGCATGAACATCATTAACTTAATTTTTGGAATTATTATGCCTGCAATCTTGAGCATAGTGGTCTGGTTTGCTGCACACACAACAATCGCCTTTTGGTCCACCATAATTCTTGAACTTGTTATGCTTCTTCTTAGATCCAAGATGGTTATTCATGCCATCATGTTTTCTCTTTCTTTTTGCAGTCACAACATTAACTTTAGAGAATCTAGCAGACTCACATTTTTCTTTATCCTTTGATTCCTCCTCAGTTCAAAGGTGTTTCTGAATTTTCTCTAGCGATAAATCCTCATGATTATGCAGTAATTTCTTCTAGTATCATTTCCATGAAGATGACAATTTTACAATAATTACACCGACTATGAAAGCTTCTGAAATGTCAATTTTCATGTATTTTATTTTATTCATGAGAACCTATAACTCATGTATGTGTGGCAGAATCGGCTTGGAATCTAACATTTTAAAATCAAAGTATTTAGATATTAAATTTTTTCGTACCTTCCTCTTCATCCTTGAATTTGAATTCGAGTGATTTCCAAATCTCTACCGAGTATTGGGTATCAGTGAAAAGATAATAAAGACGGTCATATAATGTGTTTTGAATATATCCACGACATATCAATTCATCTTCCTTTCTTTTTTTTACGTTTCTTCTTGACTTCATCAATGTCATCTTCTTTTGGTTCTGGAATTGCTGTCAAATCAGGATCTAAGAAATAGTGAATCTTCAGGGCAGTTAGAAGAAATATCATCTTGTCTTGCCAACAGATGAAATTTGTTTCATCAAAACAATCCAACTTGATAAGGTCCAGGTTCATCACTTGCTTAAAACTGAAGCGTCGGTGGCCATTATTTAAGATATTATAAGTCTGTTAGATAAAACTTTTAGATTGAATGCATCCAAGATAGAATCGTGAATGAATCACTTTCCTTATAATATTTGAAACACTCTCGAATTCCTTAGAGTTTCTATACAAGAATACTCAGGATAATTCAACATATAATCGAGTTTGCATAAGACAAATGAAAACTCGAATGTAGGGAAGAGAATCTGGAATTTTTCTGAAGAGGATATGTGTTATTTTTATGTGATTTTTGAGTTCATAATGATTTATTTATAGGACATTTTTGTGATGATTCATAAGGTTGCGACCCTTGATGAAAAAAACATCCTTTCAGTAAAACTTTTACCAAAAGATGTATGGTTTCTCCTACAATCAATGTTTTTCAAGAGTTGCATATTTTCATTCTACAATACCTCAAGAAGTGTTTCCTTTACCGAATTCAAAATTCAAACTCAAGCAACGATAAGAAACAAGATCAATGCCCATTTTCCTTATGTGGCAACTTTCCGCCACTAGATCCTCTACGCCCACATCCTCAGACCCAATCCCAGAGTCGGTATCATTGATAGCGACACCGGCAAGGGGGCATATGAAGGAGACGAGTAGCATAATGCTTGGGACCACCATATTTTTCCATGTGGAACTTTATCCTTTTTTTCCTTTTGTTGAGTTTATGGACATAACTCTTTACAAAGGCTTTTAATGTGAGTGCCACTTTTATGTGAGATTATTTCCGATGCATTCATTGCCATTTTCTCACTTCCACTTTTATTGACATTTTTGAACATACCCATGGAAATTTATCGTTCATAAATTTCAACAATCTCCCACTTATTATAATAATGACAAGATCAATTTCATAAAAAAGAGAAACAAAGAATATTAATACAGTTACGTATCTTTCTATTTGAACTTAACTTTAGTAAAGATAACCCAAAGTCTAATCAGAGTGTTAGGTAGTAATTCTTTGAACCATTATACCTTATGATTATACCGGCTTAACCTTACACACACACACACACACTCTTTAATGGTTTTCTCCTACATTTCTCGTATAGCATTATTTATGGCCACATGCTTTTCCTGTTTCGTGAATTTTTCATGAGAGAAACTCTAGCTCTCACTTTGAGACGACACCATCTCGAAATTCACATAGGTGAAGTTCATATCATATCTATTTTTCTTGAGATATATATTCTCAATATTGAACATCATTAAGAGTTTGAAAAACTCAACCTCAATATGTGATAGTCAACATTGTCATATAATGTTGCATAAACATCCAAATCAACAATTTGTTGTTACCCATTGAATATTAGGTTAAGATTTTCTTAACTTTAGATTGGGTTGCCACTATTGTTGAAACCCTTATTCAAGAAGTTTCAATACCATACCTCTCAATGTGGTTGATCTTACCGGGATCATAAAGTGAGATGCACGGCCGGTCCAATTGTACGTTGGTCCAAATGCTCTTCAGAAAAGAGGTTACCTGCAAGGCACTCTGATGCTAAAGTCAGAAAGAGTGTGAGGTAAATAAGTGTGAGAGTTATGAGTAAGATACTGGGCCCACCAGTAATGAAGGATTTATATAGAGCCCCCGTTTTTGGGCCAATGGTCTTTATTATGGGCTGGATATCCAGACCCATAATGAATGACTACCATGATTCCCATATGGCAGTAAGGATGAGCAGCACATGCTCATCATCCTGGGTCAATTGCTTTGAATTTTGCGGATGGTGGGATGACCACGTCCGTTATGAAGGGCACAATGGTTCCTTTATGTGAAACGTGCGAAGTAAGTTGATGACGTGTCCTCAGATGAGGGGCACGTGGACTACGCGTCTTCAACTTGGGCCACAATGGATTGGGCCATTATTTGGGTTGTCCTTGACATAGGGGGCAAGTTGGTCATGCTTGAAAATGGGCCAAGCATGTGTCCAATCCATAACATGAGCCTACCAAGTCGTTTCTCACATGCAAAGGAGTAATGACTTAGAGTTAGCCCGTTATCGAGGAATATCAAGAAGACTAGCGCGAGGTGACCATCGTTTGTGCTCATGTGTCATACCCCAAATTTTTCCTACTTGTTCCTAATATTTTTTTTATTCCTATTTCTAAAAATTACTTTACTTTATAAAATATTATTCATATAGTTATGGGGGTTTAGAATTTATAAAGATGGGTTTATCTTATAAAGAAATCAATGGGCCTTTCTAAATCAGAAAAGCTCATATAAGTGTTTTTGAGCCAACTGCATTTTTGGATATGATTTTGTTCAGGTTTCAGCCCATTTTTAATATTGAAAGGAGTTACACTATTTTGAAGAATCACGGGCCTTTCTAAATCAGAAAGAGCCCATGTAATTTTGTAGTCCATTTCAAATATTAAAAAGATGGTGTATAAAGCAATTCATTTTTCTTGTTAAAGCCCAATAAAACGGTGGCTCAATTCAGTTTTTTGATTTTTTGATTTTGAAAAAATGTTTTGTTTAAATTATAACATTTTCATTATTATTAACCAATTATTAATCATACTACTTTTATAATTAAAATATTTTATACTTAATTAAAACTTTGTTTTTCTTTGCTGGTTGAAAAAAACCCGCTGGGCTTTATAAAACCGTAAGGCCCAATAACAAACAGTTCAACCCATTATCGGGTTTTTGTTAAGATTTTGTTCATTATAAAACATTATGTTTTAAAACTTAATTAAAAAGAATAGTTTTCTGTTTTATTAATTAAAAATTATATTTGTTTTGTTGACTGACTCACGGTCTAAAGCCAAACAGACCTAGTTCAGAAGCTCAAACACACTACAGGCCCAAGCCCATATATCACTGTTCAATTAAGGAAAAACATTTACTGTTTTGATTAATGAATGATAACAATTGTTCTTGCAAGTACGATGTAAATCAAGATTATGAATACAAAAATAGAATCAAATACAGAACACAATCAAATCTTCATCAATACAAAACCAAATTTCCATAAACAATATCAGAAATTTGTCTAAAACACAGACACATAATCAGGAAGAAACATAAACAAAATTAATACAAATTTATACAAATTAAAACCTAATATAGAATTACAGACAAAATAAATTTTGAATTCAAACCTTAATTAAAAATTATACAAAAATCACAGGCAAGCCAATATGTTTCCTAATATACTAACTCCTAAAAACTCTATAAAAACCTAAGAAGAAATCAGAAAGAGGACGAACAAAAATTGACAAAATAAAAAATCGAAAAAATTTACAGTAGGGAAAATTTTATAGAGAAGAGGAAACAAAGAGGGTTTGTTTCATCCGCCGAGCCACTTTCCTAGATCTAGGGTTTTAACGTCTGAAACCCTAGACTTCTTTGACAGACGCCGCTAACTCTTATTGTCGCATCGCCGACACCATCGTCCTCATTATCGTTGTTATTCCGTGGACCTGAAACAAAGAAGAGATATAAAAAAATCTTGGATCAGAAATAGACGTGAAGCTTGAATAACAGTCACGACACGGACGGTAAAACACTCAGCTTGAACTTTTTTGTTTTGATCGTTGTACTTGTTGTGGTCATTCTATGATTGGGTTAGGGAGTTGCGGTGTCGGAGAGAGGGAGGGACGATTGAACGCCACTGATGGAGGATGAAACTAGGGTTTTTTTGTGGTGTTATGATAACGAGAAAACATATCGTATAATTAACATGCTTTTTACCGATTTTATATTTCATTAAGTCGTCTAACCCCCGATTCTTCCGAGATTATTTGTCTTTTTGTAGGTATAACACTTGTCGACTCAAACCGATGAAAAAGGACAACATGAAGAAGGCTAGGCGATAAACAAAGAGAAAAAGAATTAAAAAAATACAAAGTTTAGACTTCTGGATCAGTGACGGTCATCACGTCCCTGTGACGGGCGTAACACCCCACAACATAAGGAAACGCTCGTCACACACCACTGACGAGCGTAAGGCACTACTTCAGCGCGTGACGACCGTCACCCACCTGTGACGACCGTCACGCGCGTGAAGGTGGACGTTATGCATGGATTGAGACGTGGGCGTGAAGGGCAGACTCGTTCTCCCTTTTTATACTGAGTCCCCTATTTTCTTGCCACCACTATTAGTGCTCCTGTATTTTCTCCATGAAGACTTCATCAAGAATTCAAAAACTGCTGATTTTTCCTATGCTATATATATGAGTACCAGTACACAGTTCAAGGGTCGAAGAAATTTACTCAGAGCAAATATTATTTTATTTTAGAGTTATTTTCCAATTTGCTTGTTTTGGAATTCTGTTTTCATTTTCTTGTAATTTTCATTCAAGGCATTAGTTTCTATTTTTAAGTGTTAATTCTTCTTTCAAGAATTAACACGAATCATTTACTGCAAGTCAAGCTCGAAGATTGGATTACTGTATTACCTCAAGATTACCATAGCAAATTTGATTCCAGGTTTTTTATATTGCAATTATTATTTATTCAGTTTTTATAATATGCCAATTATTGCCATGAATTATATTTTAAACTGTATTGCTGTTAAGTTAATTATGTCTGGCTAAATTATTAATACCGGTATGTGACCGTAAGAACTTAAAGAATTCAATGATACCTTGGCCAAAAATATTTACAAAATAATTTCTGGTTTCCAATTTCCAAGATTAATTTAACTATCCTTGTCACGAGAGTGAGAGGTTAATTAACACGATTTTGCCACGAGAGTGGGAAATTAATTAAGGCAAGAACCTGCATGCGAGAGCTGGGGTTCAACACAGATAGTGGTAACGAAGCATTGATTTTTAAATACACGAGAGTGTTTTAATAAATTAATTAAATTCAAATTGTTTTCAAAAAGTGTTATTAAATTTAAAGTGCATCCACTAGGTTTAGTAGCATGACTTATTTCATAAACACGAGAGTGTATGTCTCAGGTTTTTAAACAATTAGCTTTTACCGAAATACTTTATAGGCCAAGCGATTCACCGAATTCCCTAAGTCCGATTATCACATACCGGTATAATTAGTACTATTACTTTTAATTAAATTGTTTCCCCCAAAAATCAAATATTCATCGCTTAGTTAGACAAACTGTAGCATTAGATCGTATGCGATTGATCCTCAGTCTCTGTGGGTTCGATAATCTTTTAAAACTAGAACGACTGAACTGTATACTTGCAGTTAGTATCCCGACAGACTTATAAAGTCCCGATCAAGTTTTTGGCGCCGTTGCCGGGGACTGGTAGTCAATTAATTACGATTCTTTTGTTGCGCGTTTAGACTAAGCAACAAACACCCCTTTGTCGATTTGTATGCCAAGGACTCACTCACAAGGCGAACCACTTGACAAATCGACGGACGAACCTGAACGCATTCTTTCCGTAAGACGTGCAGTCAGGGATTACTGTTTAAATCACGCTATTCCTTTACCCAAACCAGAAATCAAGATTGATTCTGAAACTGATTCTAATTCTTCCTCTGAAACCGAAACCAATCC